ACTCGCAGTGTCCGATCGGGTCGATAAACCATTTCTTGGTATGAGAAATCCATTTTGCAGGAATGTGAGCACTTTCCCCTCCCTTTCGTCCTCTTTCCATTTCTTGATTCTTCTTGTTGTTGTTGTTCTGATTAAATTTCGTCTCTGCCCCTCCTTTAACCTTTCTTTGACATCTATTTGGATAGCACTTGAGAAAAACCTGGAACTCACACCTGATCGCTCTTCCCTTCATTAGGATCACTCCAGCGTTCTGGACCTCTTGGCCAGACTTCCAGGGAGGTTAAAAATAATGTGTAAGTCTGGGGACACGTTTCACTCGCTCGTAACAGTTCCAGCAACGGCCACACATGCCTCCTTCGCTGTCATAACAACGGAACATCTGTCGACAAGGAGATAGATCAAAGGTCCTGAAGATACAGCTTGCCTATACCCTGCGACATCCATAAAACATCTTCTCTCCTCTTTTAAATCTAATGTTTTAATTGATTCGAAGGTCGAGACTTATTTCTTTATATCCATGAGCTAAACAGCCATGCTAATTTCTTTGGTTTTTTTTTTTTTTTTCCCCTACCTCCTTCCTTTGTCTTGCTAACTGCAGAGTCCAACTTCGGGATCTCCTCCCTACATCTCAGAAATGTTATTGTGTCAGAAGCCCTTTGAGAATATGAAGAAAGACGTGGGTCCTCTGTCAGGAATGTGAACACACTCCATCTCAGGGTCTTGTGGAGTTACCATGAGGTCTGTCCATGGGCTGCCTGGGGCCAGGTAGAGTCGGATGATAACCTGTATCATTACGAGTACCCTGAGGTGCTCGTGAAAAGAGGCATGTTCCCCAAACCACCTGAAGGCCTGATGGCATCAGCATCTTTGGGATGGAGGCCAGAAGTCCACGTGTTTCATAAGCACCTGGACAGTCTCTATTCACAATGACTTTGAGAAGCATGGCTAGGAGTCCATTTACCCCTGGCCCCTGAGCTAATCTTGTTATTCCCCAAACTACTCAAAATTACTCTCAACTCATCTCTGCAGGCCAATACCATGTCTTGTTGGTCAATATAGTCATTTTTCGCTGGACCATAGCTGTAGATAGAGAACTAGAATCATCCAACATCCTGTCTTCATTATTCGCTAAATCGATGAGGTCTGTGTATTCTAATGTCAGCTCTTATTTAGGAGGTTTTCGCTTTTGCAAAGCAGCATGCCATGTGGGCAGCTTTCCTTGGAGCAGCCTTTGATGTTCAAGCTACAACAGTAAAAAATGACAGTCAAGGTCCCCTCTGAGTGTGGAGCGACCGGGTCTTCATCTTCGTGAACGCCGAAAGCTCTTACCTGCTGGACCATACTCATTCTATTGCAAAAAGGAGTACTCGAGGATTACTTTAAAAAAAAATTTAACCAGAATATTTTGGAAAAGAGAAAACACACCGAAAGAGGCTTTCTCAGATTTTTTCCATCGAAAAACCTGAGAAGTCTTCTCAGTAGCTGAGGAGAAAAAACACAAGCAAGGTTGAAGGCTAGGATCTGAAGGTGTTGTTACAAGTGGAGAACGTCTTTCCATTTTTGTGTTTCTCCAGGAAAATTATTGAAAATTTTGCGTTCCGATAATTTATCTGTATTCAGAAGTCTTTGGATCCGCCCCCCCCACCCCCAGATTTTCAAGGGAAAGTCGACGCTCCATGAAGACACTCTGTATTTATTCTGACTTTACACGCTTGTAGGCACACTTCCCACATTCCAGTTTAAGAAATCTGCCCAAGTTCATTAGATCTGTGTACATTTAAAAGTACAATTTCTCTATGCTCCTCCTCCTTATGTGTTCACCATTATATTGACTTCCGCCCAAATTCTGGTCGGAACACAAGCCAATACCAGCAGCCACCTCTCACCATGCTCTCAGGCCATGGAACAAGGCAGGTGGGACGTGGCCAACTTCACTCTCCGTGGCAGCCCCAGCTCCGAGAACAGAGCCAGACACGTCGTTGGTGCTCGGGAAATACTTGCTGGCGGATAACAAAATGAATAAACGAATCACCGATTTCCTTTCAAACCATCTGAGTGCTGTCTTGCGTTCGTCCTCAAACTCAACATGATTCAGGAGTTTCGTCTTAAGGAATTCTGGAGTGTGTCGTTAACAAGGGCATCGCTCAGGGGAGCTTCGGTTCTCGGTCCACTTTGCTTCGTCCACAGCATGGACGGCCATCGTCTCTGTTCTCTCACTTATGATCCAGTGAGTGACTCAGTTGTGAACTCCGTTAATATCGTTCTCTGATGTTATACTCTATGTAAGCTACACGCTTCAGGGATGCGATAAATTTCTACCAAGACTGACATCTTTTATACACCAGGGCACTGTTGATGCTCGATGCAGATTGGCTAGTGACCTGTTCACGAGGGATGTTTCTAGTGCAACTGGAAATTGCCTGATGAATTCCTGAGTCCTTCTGCCTTGGACCCTGCTGGTTGATATGAAGGAAATCTGTTGATACTATTCCTCTATGGGTCCTTTTTGATACGGGGGAAGCAATTTGCAGTTGCTCGTTCAGCACGCATCCCTCAGCCAAGTCTCTGGGGGGAGGGACTCTAGACGAAGGTGATGTACTATCTGGTAGGCGAGCCCACTTTGACCATCAACACAAGGTGCTTTCAGAACATCACCTGTGTGTTTATAATCACAGAATAATTTCCTCTCCTCGGTCTTGCGGCGAACATCTTCCGGACGGTTCGTCACACCGCCATCCAAACACTGTCTCTCTCGGCATCTCTAGACTGCTACACTCTCTTCATTCATTTTTATTTTATTTTATTTTTTTTTAATTTGCAATCTGTTTGGTACGAAGGAAACAGATTGGATGCGAGGAGCGTGGAGAGCGAGATGGAGAGAAGCAGAGCTCTGAGATATTTTTGGATACTACTAATGATGGTGGAGTGTTTATTGAGCTCTGAGCAGGGCCAGGCGTCCTTCTAAGTCTCCACATGGATTAATTCATGCAGGTCTCCAGGGGCCATGTGAGGTAGACAGTATGGTTACGCCAATGTTATAGCTGAGGAAACTGAGTCACGGAGAAGCTAAGTAACTCAGTGCCATCCATGGCTGAGAGAGCCCCCTCACTACCGATGTGAAGCCACGGTCTACCTGTAAAGCCCTTCCTGGCACCCTGCAGGGCCACTGAGCCACCTGTCCCTCTCCTGTGGCTGTAGTGCCCCCTGAATACTTCATTCATTGACTCCTCAGAGCACCTACGGGATGTGGAAATGACGGTGCCCTTTTTACAGATGAGAATGAGGCTGAGAATAGTTAGAAATGTTCTCTATGATCAGGGTCCAGTGGAAGAAAAGCCAGGATGCCAACTCGGGTGTGTCTGTCTCTAGAGCCCACGCTCTCGACCACTGTGGCCCGGGATCGACGTGTGTGTGCGTGTGTGTGTGTGTGCGTGCGTGTGTGTGTGCGCACGTGCATGCGCACACGTGCTGACATGGAACACGTGTGTCTGAGGACACATCGGGGCTTCGTTCCTGCTGGCTGAGTGAAGGACTGAAGTTCTCTGGATTTAGCCATCCATCTGCACTGCTCACCTGCAAGGTTTAATCCAGTCAGAAGGAGAAAGAAAGCCGGCATCTGTCTCTTCTCCAATGTGCAGGCTGATTTTACGAGTGGATGGTAGTTCTCGGGCAGCGGGTAGAGGCTCTATATTATTTCAAAACGGTACAAGCTTTAACTTGAAGTCTGACTTTTTAAGTGATTGCTTCGAATTTCCACATTTTTGTGTTTGAATTATAGAGGTAATAAATTATCATTGTAAGAACTTTTAGGGTTTTTTTATATTAAAAAATAATAAAATCTTATATATTCAAATGTTGGAGAAATGAATTCGCTGAGGCTTTAGTGGCCCGGGGCAGCTTTGCAGCTCATCCGTCATCAGCCAGAATCTCTTTTCTGTCTTCTCCATGTTGCTGCTTCGAGAATGAGACATTCGTGTACAGAGGGACACATTTTTTCTGAGACAACTGCGATCGATGGTAATTGTAAGGCTAGACTGGAATGTGGGGCAGGGGGGCAGATCTTTGCATCCCACCGTATCTGGCCCCTGCCCTCACGCCCAGCTTAAAGTCCAGGGTCTGACGGTGACCAGCACACCTGGCTCCCCACCTTCGCCTCGGCCTGTCACCCTCCAGGCTGCCTCGTGGAGAAGGCAGTTACAGAGTGGTCTCCTCCGCCAAGAGGCAGCGGGCTCTGACCACCTGGGGGCAGGGACGATGCCATCGAGCTCGCTCCCAGCTAAGCGGGAGAGAGGCCGGGCTTGTGCTCAGGTGGCACATTCAACGGCGGGCGGCAGCTCCGCCAGCGTCCTGCTCTCTGCTGGGTTCTAGCTGTGAGACAGGCCGACTGTGGTCCAAGAGGAGAGCTATGGTAATGTCGCAGGGGACCGTGTAGGGGTGTCCATGGGACACCCCAGGGAAACCCCGAGCCGGAGGTTGAGTGTCGGAGGGCGCGCCCTAGAGGTGGACACCTGGCCGTGATGAGATGTGGGACATGGACACTGGGCGGAAGACGTCGCCGGAGCCGTGAGACTGTCCTTGGAAGGGAGTGTGGTGTGGGAAGAGCGCCGAGCAGAGGACCCGGGAAACACGCGCAGTTCTGGGGCAGATGCAGGAAAAGGCCTGCGTCAGGGCCCCTGGAAGGCGGAAAGGAGGGGGCCGGGCTGCGCCAAGGTACCACGCCGCCAGCACGCAGAGAGCTCCGGCAACAAAGAACATGGTCGGCAGTGCCGGATGCCACCAGGACAAGGGAGATGAGGGCCGAAGGAGATCGGGTGTGCGCGGCAGTCAGGCTCTGGGAAGGGGACCACGCACAGCGGATGTCTGCAGACCCAGGGTGGGGGCAGAAGGCGCCTGTGGGAGGGAAGGGGTGGGACCGTGGGACATTAGCTAAGGGCGTGTGGGAGGGGAGGGAGGAGGAGGACAGTGGAGAGGGGGACGGAGCGGGGAGAAGACAGGGAGGGCAGGAGAGGGACAGAGGACGAGACCAGGGAGGTAGGACATAGAGGAGTCAGAGGCAGAGGCAGAGAGGGCAGAAGGGACACAGAGGGCGGACAGGGCGGTTGTGCGGTAGGGGAGGCTAGACTGCGGGTGGCGCTTTAAGAGGATTTGTAAATCTGTGTGTCCTTGTGGCCAAGAGAGTCCCCAGCCCACAGCGGAAACCAGCACGTGCTGAACGGAAGGTAAGGGACATGCGGATTAGCATGCGGGTGGCGGCGGGGGGCAAGGTAAGGCGTTACCTCCTGTGGGCCCGGCGGGGCCTGCAGTGTGTACCAAGGGGCCACGTCAGCCTTCCGTGTCACACGCGGCTTCTCCTATGATCGACGAGACCGGAGCGAATCTCCTCATCATTTTCCTGACTTCCTTTTCAATACGAATCCACTTAACATTAAAATTGTATTATCGAAATAAATCTTTGAACTATGAAGTGCTAAATCTTCGAGGTTACGACACACTCGCTGAAAGGCGTGATCGATCAGCTAGCGCGTAAGAGTCACCGAAGGCCTGGAAGCCTTTTCCGTTGCTGTCGTGATCACCGTCACCCTCCGACACAGCGGCCCTCGGGGCTGGCCTACTAAATGGCAGGTGTGACTTCAAGACTATGAGTGTGACTTTTTATGATGCACCCGAAGTCGGGGCGCAGAGGCCTCTGGGGCTCCAAGAGGAAACTCCCAGTACAGTCGTCACCCGGACTTGTCAGGGGTCTTGTGCTTGACTCTTGTGCCATTCCCCGGTGGCCTGTCCCCGAGATGCTGCGTTGTCCCTTCTCAAGCAAACTTCTTTGTCTTCCCACATTGGCCCATGATCGAGCCACCCCAAGGCCATCAGGGGCCACTGTGCATTCGGGAGGACATGGGGACAGAACTGCGCACACCGGAGAGCTGACGGAACGTCTGTCAGTTGCGTTTCTTGTTGAGATGTCACCCGACGGTTCTCCTCCCTCCTTTCCACCCCCAGCCCCACGCGTCACACTCTGGGCCGCCTCTCGCTCAGAACGTACGCACGGCTGCTCTCGCCTGCGGCCCCCTCCGCATTTGTCACTGGTCTGTCAACTCCTTGAGGATCAGCACTGTGCCTTAGCGTTCCATCACTGGACACAAAATACAAGTTCACACACTGTGTCTTGAATGAATATTGAATTATTTCCCCCAAAGAATGTATCGTTTTTGAAACGATGGTTGGTTCGTTTCCCGTATGTCACTTGGGCTCTTTGCTCTGGTGCAGACATGGACTGTGACTCGTGACTCGCACATACGTGTCTCCTGCATGTCCGTGAACACGGCAATGAGGGCGGGCTGCCACATGTGACCCTGGGCAGTCGCTGGGTACTCTTTCCACTCGCCTGTCTGAGAGTGTTCCTCCTTCTCTTTGTTGAGTGGGAAAAGGAGTTGCGATGACCAGTGTCGCCACGTCCCATGGCCCAGGCTGGCTACGGGGGGCCACGGCTGGACGAGACGGTAGGCAGACAGCCTTGCAAGAGACAAGGAAGGAAGGAAAGACAGGAAATTGGAAATCTGAAAAGAGGA